CCTCCATCCTTCACTTCAATTGCAACACTGACACATCGCCCGTGGGTGATAGACGAAGCTAAATTGCGGCCCGCGCCTATGTGTCTTGGATCACATAACGGGCCATCATATGTCGTTCTGTCGTTACAGTACCCATCTAGGTAGTCCATGTTGTTGGCCGTTTTCGTTAAAAGTCACAAAATAGAGTGACGTGTCTTAGCGAAAGGAACCCTGACGGAACGGACGGACTCACTACTGTCACCCGAAGCTGCCAATAACAGAACTTGTCCGCAGCGAGCTGGTCACCAATCGAATAGGAAAGCAGTTGGCGATGCTACCTTCTACTTGCTAGTGTACCTAGGGAAGAGAGCGCAGATTCAGGTATAACGGGGTCTGTGTGTTGTCTTCGCGATCGGGATATCGACAAAAGTGGACAGCTGAATGACAGGCAGATCAAACGACTTTGGAGAACTCAGCTGGGGTCTGGTCAATGGCTGAACTTCTAGCCAACTGACTGATCGATGTTGGTTCTTTTTTGTGGGGTGAAATGAACCGACTTGCCAATGCTTTGAATACCTACCTTCTTACCCTGTAATAACTATCAACACTTGTGCTATGCTATATGTCTTGTGAATCTCTTTCTTCCCCCAACGCCATTTTACAGGTATTTTTCATACAGTAGTACCATTCAGGTCCCGCATATTGCCCTAACCAAGCCCTTCAAGACAAACAACCCGGCCCATCTGTCTCCCCAGCTGGGACAATCATCCCCTTGGAGAGACTACGGCAACCAATTCCCGCCTCTTGGGTGGGACTTGGGACTTCTAGTCTCGCTCAATCTTGATGCCCGGCTCGGTTTTGACGTCCTTTTGATTATCCTACATCAGATAGTGAGCCAAGACCGCCTTGGCCTCATCGTTCAGCCTCTCACTGGCATACTTGGTGATCAAACCATTGTGTGCCTTGTCCGATGCCTTCAAGAAGTCTCCAACCCATTGCTGGACATCGGTGATCTCAGGGAACTCGTCCCTCGGAGGTCGCTTGCAGGTGCTGAGCGGAGTGAATCCGATACCAAACCCGATATCATCCACGTCGGCCTCGTTGAGGATCTCGTCACCAGCACCAGCGGAAACCTTGGGAGGGTTCTTGAGAAGCTCGAGGAGGGCGTTGCAGGTGAAGCCCCAGCCCTTCATGTAGCGCTCGGCAAACGCCTTGGACTCGACCAGTGTCTTGCTGTAGGAAATGACGGCAAGCTTACGGTCGCTAGGACGAGCGAACTCGCGAGTGGTGGGAATCACGACTTGGAGATAGAACGGCGTGAAGACGCCGGACTGGATGGTTTCGGCATGCTTGATGAAATAGTCAGTTCCCAGCCCAGCCTCTCCAGAGCGCGCCGAGACCAGATGGTAGAAGCTAGCAACACGAGTCTTGTACGAGTCCGAGGGGTTCTTTTGCAACTTTGTGAAGATAAGAGTAAGGATAGTGCCAAAGTAGGGTTCCAGAACCGATCTTTTTCATGGTTAGCTTACTCGTGGTCCTTGAGAGAGTTTGGGGGACGTTGTGACTTACGCAGGGAACGAGCAAATGACAGACTCGAGGATATCGAAAGCATTCTGGTCCGTCTTCTTTCCATTCAGAAGACTTTGGAAGATGGAAAGAATGGGCTCGAGCTTGTTCTCTTTGACAATCTCCTCAGTAGCCTTGGGGATGATAGCCGCGATAAACTTGGCAAGGGGAGGAATGTTACCCCTAGTCTCCCAGGGACCAGGGGCGAGAACAGCATCGATGAGTGCCTTGAAGTCTCCAGGAATAGAGCCAGATTTGTTGAGATCCAAAAGCTGAGTGAAAATCTGGAACACATAGGGCACGAATTCTGTAACATCCTCATTGAGGATGTAGGTGAATGGCGCCCATAGGCGGGAAAGCAGGTCGACTTGAGGGGCGTTGCTGCAATACCTGACAATTGCACCAATAGCTTCGAAGTGGAAGTAGTAGAACCGAGGGTTACTGGGGTTTTCCTTGATAACATTGGTGATGTTAATGAGGTGATCCAGAATGTTATCGATGTCGCACTCCAAAACACCGTCCTTGATCACGATCAGAACTCTCATGATGCACCTCATGAGGAACTCGTTCTCCTGTAGCTTGGCGGCCGAAGTGTCCTTCTCAACCAAAGCAAACAGATGCTGTAGAAGGTCCTTGGCATACGGCTGAATGTCGGCCCGTGACAAGATATGCTGTCCCTGATCATCGGTGAGGAAGAGGACTCTCTCCAAGGTGGTGGCCGCGTATGTGTAAACGACGTAGTTGGGTGAAGCCAAGTTCTGAATGAGAGGGTTGATAGCGCCACCCCACTGTTCCTTGCTAAGCTGACTCCTGAAGTTGTACAGAAATTTGATGGCGTCGACCTTGGGGATGGGCTCGCCGCCGGTGGCAACCAAGTCGGCCGCAATGTGCTGCTGGAAGAAATCAATAACGTTAACAAAGCTGTTGACGGTCTTGACACCCTGGGCCGCCGTGACAGCTCCCTTGGCGGCGATGGCCAAGAAGAGGTAGACAGCAGTGTCCTTGGCCTTCCAGTCGGTCTTGCCCATCTCCAAGTAGTGGTTAATGTACTTGGACACAACCTGTGTCACAAGGGCCTCAAAATCGTCAAGGAGCTTTCTCAGGAAGTCAGTAGCCGCCTTCCTTCGCGAATCGGTATCTGAACCCTCAAGATCACGACGGATGAACTCGATAGGCTCGTCTTCAAAAAGCTCAATGTCAGACTCCCTGAGTGTCACGTTGGGAAGAATAACCTTCTCAACAATGGTACCCAGGATCTCCTCGTTGTTGAAAATTTGGGCATGGCGGTGGACGGAGGCGACAGCAGTAAGGAAGTGGAGCGCCTTGCTTACAAGGACATCGTACCGCTTCTGGGGGCCAACACTCGACAGGACGTTCCACACGTTACTTGTAAACTCCTGTACGTAGCCGCCGAAGTCGTCGTCGTATTTTGTGACAAAGAGGTGCAGGGCGTCGCAAATATCCGATTTGAGGATCTCGATCGGTGTCGCCTCGTCCTCCTCGTCGTCAAACAGGGGGTTTGCGTAGCTCAGGTATTTGTGAAGGACCATGGTAATGGGCTGTAGGTTCGTCTCGATGATGGGGGGCAAATCCTGGCATGAAAGGTCAAAGAAGATTCTTGTCAAGAGACTCATGGTCTCAAGCCAGCCCTTCAGTGCCTTCTCGTTGGTCCTGTTTGCTTCAATTTGTTGGTCGGCAACGCCCAGCATCTGGATAAAGGAGTCGCCAAAGGTATTGACAACATGGTTGACTTCGATGTTGAGGGCGTTTGAGGAAAACAGCGGACGCCAGCGGGCGAAGATGGAGTGTGCTACTTCCAAGACACCGTTTGTGACCTTGGGGTCAGTGGTGGACAGGCGGCTGACAAGATCCTGGGTCAAGGTATCCCAGCGCTCCCAGAAATCGGAATCGGCAATGATGCTGATGGCTTCTCCGAGCTGGGTCTGTATCGTAGGGGGAGAGGAAATCATGAGACCGACGAGCTCCTGCTTGATGGTGACAACCTCATCCGGGGGTAGCTTGTAGTTGCCCTCCTCGTCAACATAGTTGTGGCGGATGAAGTTCTTGAAAGCGAGGGCGGCGGCAAGGCGAATGTTGCTCGGTTGAGCGTCGTTAGCCACGATGCTAAGGAGGGATAACGAGTATTTGGGCTTCTTTGCCTCTTCCTTCAAGGCGGTCTCGGCTGTGAAGAGGTAAAAGTCAGCAATCAATAAGCCCTTGAAGCCCTGCATCTAGAGCTTCCCTGGGGGCTTTGCGGTGACTGTAGTCGAATCGGGGTGTGTAAGGCTGGCTGCTTACCTTTGCGATGGTGTCGCGCGTCAAGAGTTGCCTGAAGCAGTTGTGCGAGGTGGTCGAGATTGGCTGCCATGGCGGGCGAGCGCTCTGTGTGTGTGTGGTTCGTTGTGGTGGTGGAGGTGGTGGTGGTGGTGTTGTTGTTGTTATGATCTTGTATCGAGGGAGGGAGAGACAGTGAGATAGATGGAGGAGGGACCGTGACGCGGGAACGGCTTGCAGATGCAGAGAGTGGACGTCGGCCTAGAGCAAGAGCAAGTTGTGGCGGTCGCGTGAAGATTCGAGTTTGTGGAAGTCTTGGTTGTGTTGGCGACTTCGTCCGGCGAGGAGATTGGGGTGACTAGGATTGGATGTTTGTTGACTTGGGAGACGGAAGTAGTGAAATCTACGTAGGTACAGAAAACAAACTGAACGTGGAGCGCGACGACCACGACACTTCAGTTGACAAACGTGCAAAGAAGAACTGGTACTGGACCGACCTCCCCGTCTGGGACTGGAACTCAAAAGAAGCCCACGACGTCTTGCAGGTGGGGCTCGTCCCGGTTGCCTGCGCCGGGGGGTGGGACACGCTTGCTACATCAGCGGATTTGCTTTAAGCTTTGGCCAATCAGACGGCCGTATGGAGGTGGGGTCGCGTTGACATTCCCGTCGCTTTCTCAATGAAACTTTGAAGCTTTTATCGCAACCATTTCACTTTCTGGAATTGGGAGGAAAGGTACTTGGTACCTCCCGCTACTGTAGGTTGTTAGAGATGGCGATCTGGAGCTTCAAGAGTCAGTGACATGTTGACTAACATCCGGCTGATCATGACACTTAGTTAGTATGTTGCCCTTCTCAAAAACCACAGGGAGCTACCATCAACTACCTAGTCTACTTGGTACTCGAAGCAACGTGAAAAATGCCGTGAATGCAGACAGACGGGTGATTTCAAACTGTGACATCAGAAAGCAGAAGCTCCCTGAATTGCTAACTTCTCCACATGTACCTTACTGCGTAGAAGTAGCTCAATCGGTAACCTACCTAGGTACCTACAGGTAGGTTTGTTGTATACACAGCACGGACCGTCTTATGGCGCGGCAGACGTTATCTTGGATCTAAAGACGGGGAAGCTTCCGATCAGAAGCTGTTGAAGCCTCCCATGCGCGCTATCAGTGGGGCAGCCAATGACTGAACGTGCGCAAAAAGACTTTCTTCTTTCTTTCGTTCATTGCAACCTAGCAACCCCCGGAAATCCGCCCCAGCTCAATCTACGTTGTAGGTTGTGGTCCCTTCTCCTTTTTTTATTCATTTTTTTTTTTTCTTTCGTTTGACTTTGACTTTGACTTGCACAGTCACTTCAGTTCAGTTTCATCTGAGTAACACTTCAGATTCCATCCAACTCAACATTCTTAATCGCTCACCGACTGGTGACTGGAACAAAAAGACGCAGTCCCGTCGGCAGTCTAGCGACCCAACATCAGGCCGTGGTCAATACCCATTACCTCAGTACCTTACTTACCTCTTGGTAATCTACTACCATCAAGAGTTACTAGTGCCAGCCAAGGTGGAAGCTACCTACCTAGAGGCTAAAAAGGCGGGACTCCAGCTCGCGCTCTTGTTGGGTCATTCAGGTTGTTGCCCACCAAGACATTGTGCAGGTGTTGGGCTTCAAGTGTCATCCATATCACGTCCCGTCAGCCAGCTACAACTGCCCATCATCGTCGTCATCATCGTCAAGCACCCCAGGGTTATCGTCCGTCCGGCGCATGTACACATCGACTCTGGCCTCTGGTACGAACTGCAGCCACGAAGCTTCGACCAACCGCGACCGCCCAAACCGACTCCGTCAACTGCCCGATCGTCCGAACCCTCAAACCAGCTACAGGCAACTCGACCGTGAGCCCCTCGACGGTACTACGTGACGACTGTACTGCGAACACGGTACTGGCCCGACTCGCCCGATTCGGTTCAAGTTTGCCCATCGTTAACAAGGGCTTAGGTTGCGCTCCATCAATCGCACCCCGGCCTTCCATCTGCCTAGCTGCCTAGTAGCTGGCCGTTGAGGTACCCGGCCTGCCCTGCCGTCTCGTTCCATCCTGCCATTGGCACCACTTTATGTACAGGTAGCAGTCGACACCTTGGTAAGGAAACTCTCATGGCACTCCCGTTCGTGTCTCCATCCTTCACGCCCCCTCCTCCGGCAACCTAACCGCATCCCGCCAAAAAGAAAAAAAAAAAAGAGTCACCTCACGCAACACAAGACCGGGGTCTTCCTTTTTTTTCCCCTTCAAGATTCCCTTCCATCTCTTGATCATCTCCCTTCTATCGCACATTATCAATCCCATGCCACCTACATACTATACCTCATCTCCATGTGTCTCTCCCCAACATCCCACATACTACTCCCCCCTTTCCTGCTTCTTGTTGGGGATGTCCACCCTCTTCTACACTACCACAGCCGTACCGGTCACCAGGTCAACACCTCACCATCCATCCCATGGCTTTCTCTTGTTCCGCTCCATCAGTCTTCAGCCCTTCACGTCGGTACCGCTCCGTACATGATTCCACCCCTTGCCACGTACCCTGTCGCTCCCGGACCTGCCTGACCTGCTCGACCTGCATGCGGCTCCTGCAAGTTCCTGCAGGGCTACCGCTCACTAAACCCGCTGCCACTTGTCCCCCGTTCTTGGCGCGCGTCTCCCAACAGCTTCTAGATAAGATCTAGTTTGTTTCTCTGGACTGCACCGAATCGCTCGTTGCCCTCTCCTTCTTCAACCACAACCTCCATGTCCTACCCATCGCTGACATGTTGCGCCGATTAGCTTCTGTAAGGCACACCAACGGCCGCGGGACCCCCGACGACCAGGAGCCCATGTCCCCCTCGCCTGGAGATGATGTTTCCCACCCGGAGACGACCAAGAGTGCATCTGGAGGGCTTGCCAGCGTCTTCAAGGGGTTGGCTGGCGGAAAGCTAACCAAGTCATCACCCCCTCTCCAACCGCCCATGGCCACCATGACGACTGTTGCTTCTCAGCCCTCTCGCGATCGCTTCGATGTCTTGCCCGTCACGCCCGTCTTGCGTGGCCTCCCCCAGGAGCACATGGAGCATTTTGCGCGGTTGAAGACGGGGCAGTTGAACGACCGCATTGCCGGAGCAAATGCTCTTCGCTATGCGATCACCGACTACCCCTTGAATCCCGTAAGCAAAGCCCCAACTTGCTCTGGCGTAAACACCGTTACTAATGTACACGACTAGATTATGGAGGTATGGAATGCCGCAAAGGACCTAATCGATGGTGACAAGCCAGAGAACGCTCGGGTTGCTGGATGGAGGCTGCTGACCGAGTGCGTCAAAGACACGTCTGCCACGGATTTCGAACGGAGAGAATATTTCCGGACTCTGACTGCACAAACCGCCCACCCCGACGACTTCCCTCTGCAGCTGGAAGCATTAGAATATCTCACCAACCGTGGCCGGAACGTCGCGGGCTTCTACTACGACATTTTCCCCTTATTGACTGTGTGGCTTGCCAATACCTTCGATGCTGCCAGACTTGCTAGGAGGGCCAACAAATCGGCCAAGGGAAAGACTCTAGTGACAGTCGAGGACCAAAGTTTCTCGCGCTTATTCGCCCTCATCCGAGATGTTGTCAAGTTCAACTTCAAATACGCCTCGGACGCTGCCGTTGGTCGATTGATGGACAACCTGCTAGAAATATGTAACAGGACAAGCCAAGAAGATGATCTGGCCGCTTGCATCAGCGTCATTGATGCCATGGTCACCTTTGGCTCGGTCCCCAACGGGAAACTGAGAGATTGCATTCAGGTCCTGAGCTCCATCCATTGTTTGGTTCCCAGCCGGCAAAAGGATGCTTGGCATACGCTCTCTAATATTTGCAAGTCGCATCACGGTCAATCCACCGTAAGGATTCTGTTGGACGTATTGCGCAACGCTCCGGCTGCTCCTGACAAAGAAAGGGATAGGGACGTGATCCGGGATATCAGAGGTGCGCTTACCGTCTTGAAGAAGCTCCTTGGGAAATCTGCCGAAAAGGGCTATCCAGGTGTTCCATTGGCGCTGCTAGTTGACGGACTGGCCAACGTCTGCACGAGTAGTTCCTCTAGGGTCTCCACTGAGATCCTGAGGCTGGTCAACTCTCTGTTCGACGATGGCGATGGAATCATCAATCCTCTGATCGCCGAAGAGCACTGGTCGCCAATCTTTTCCGTGGCTGCTCAGTGTGCCGCTAAGAGCGTCCCGGCGGCCCTGAAAGATGTTGATCCGTCGATCCCGCAATCATCCGCTCCGAAAGACGATTCTGAGGGTGGAGATAACATCAATTATCAGCTCAGAACATTCATCAATCGCGTCGAAAAGCTGCTGACGGAAGAGAAAACCGATTTCTTTCAGCGGGAGGAGTGCATGAGATTCCTTGCCGAGGTGCACCACGTCCTGCCGGATTCTGCTGCGGCACTTTTGCTTGATCATCTTAAAGAATTCCGCAGCTGCTATCCATCCGAAGTCGACTGGAAGAAGAACCTTGAGCTTGTCTTGGAAGGCATCTATCTTGATCGGGGTCGCTCTGCGCCGACTCGCATACAGGCTCTTGCGATGGTCATGGAAATTTACGATTTCCTCTGCCTTGTACGGGATCTTGTAGAAGAGGAGAGTATCTTCGATCTCGTCAAACGAGTGCTATCCGGCATGTCCGTGGAGACTGATGCAGTTGTCCTCCAGGAAACTGTCACGTTCATGGTGAGGGTCGCCGAGATAGCTGGAGCAGAGCAGTTTGACTTCATCTTGGACACTTTCAAAAATATAGTCTGCAAAGAGGCGGATGAGCCAACCCCCTCGACAGGCATCCAAAAGTTTAACGGTGCGCAACAGATCTCCAATCAGCCTTCCGAGGTCGGCGGTCAATCGTTACCCAACGTTGTGACGAAAGGGTACGTCCAGATATTCATGAAATCAATGGATGTTGATGCATTGAAAGCGGTCAAAACGTTCAATGCCCTCGTCCATATCGCAGGCTCAACCACCTGTGAAACAGATGCTCGCTTAACGGCGATGAAGCTCTTGTTTCGCCTCAGAGCGGATTTTGAGTATCGCGTTTACGTCACTCCTCATGTCGAAAATGAAAGCATTGCTGCTAGTATTTACAGAACCGATGCGTCGTTTGCGCGTAAGGCAGCCGAAGACGCAGCTCATCCACCCCGTCTTGGAAGGCTAGATCAAGCCGGGTTCCCTCGAACACCGATAAGGGGTGCATCATATACGCCAGGACAGACAATGGAGAGGTCCGGGGCTATCAGACCTTTGCAGCTCCCCAGGCAAATGCCATACCAAGGACAGCGATTGTGGTCCTTGCCCGATCCAGAGGCATTGCCGGAGCTTCCTCGGAGTACGCCAAGCCATCTCCTCTTTTCATATACCGAAGGCGCGGATGGTGAGGCATCGACGAAGGCCTCAAACGCGGTTTTGAAGATGAGTTCTTGGTTGAATATTGTGCTCAATATATTCCACCAGGGATCCGACTGGGAGATTTATAGCTTTATTCTCGCACATTTGCCGGCACAGCTCAGTGATCACCCGATATTCCAGGATGCCATCCCCCAACTACAAGAACTGCGAGGACACATCTGTGAGGTAATCCGGACCAACCGTTTTCAGGAGCCACCACTTGTGTCAGGTCTACGACGTCCAGATGTCGCCAACTGTCTGTTCCACTCGCTCATCATGCTCGTCAGCTACCATCAGCACTTCCAGAAGCTTGATGAGGATGAGATCGTGAGAGCCTTCTTACATGGCATTGCCGACAAGACGGCAAAGACTTGTATACACGGTTTATCAATCTGCTGTTACGAGTTACCCTTATCCGTGAGCAAATCCCTTGACATGATCCTCACACGGATGTCTCAAGTCATCACCCAACCTTTTGTAGCGATGCATTTGCTCGAATTTCTGGCTTGTCTAAGTCGTTTACCTGCTCTTTATTCAAACTTCCGAGATGAAGACTATCGCGTCGTATTTGGCATTTGCTTTCGGTATCTTCAATACGTCCGAGACAAGAAGCATCACGCTCGTAGCACGGCGCACATGAGCGAGCCTTCAACGCCCAACATTATTGTATCCGGTAGTTCGGACTTTCTTGCCCAACAGGCCATTACGGACGACCTTCCTCAGTACGTATACGCGCTTGCGTATCATGTCATTACGTTCTGGTTCTTGGCAGTCAAGATGCCCGATCGTCTTGGCCATATTAGCTGGATTGCCAAAAACTTGTTTACCGACGTCGATGGTAGTGCCAGTAACGAGGAGCAAGCTCAGATTACTCTCGACTTCATGCAGCGTGTGGCATTCTCAGATGCAAGCGATTCGGCGCATGATCCCTTGTTCAACAGGGAGAACTTTGGTGAGATTCAACAAAAACGATGGATTATTGGAAACAGCATCGTCACAGTCAAACAAGCAAAGGAGTCGGGCTGGGCCGAGATCACAAGGCGATACCCTTCAGGAACGTCGTCCTATGCAGTTCGGGTTGAATTCACACCGATGACAGCCCAGCGCACTGCAGAGAGCTCCGACGACGCAGCTTGGGATGGACGTTTTCAAATGGGCACAACTTTGCTCCCCAGCCATGTCTTCCTGCAGCTCTTGGCTCCTATGCCGCAGATGTCTGATCCAGCAGCTCGTCCAGTTCCCTTGCCGGACGAAGAGGCAGTCGATCGGGCTATTCGTTTGTTTGACAGAAACTCGGCCGTCGATGGACACAAGGTTGGAGTGATCTACATCGGTGACGGGCAGACAGATGAGGTTGAGATACTGGCGAATACTATTGGCGGACCTGATTACCACGAATTCCTCGATGGCCTTGGCGTCTTAACGCGGCTTAAGGGCGC